ACTAAACATTAGGTGGTAAAATTCAAAGAAATTGCATTGCAACATTTACTCTTTGTCAAATAATTACATCTAGAATATATAGTAATTGTAAAATTCAAACAATATTTTTTTTAAGGTATATGACAATTTGACTACTCCTTCACATTATTTCACTATGGTTTCATAAACTTTGACTACTAGTTTCTAGTGTGCATAATGTATTATCATTTCGAACAGTAGATTTGTCATTTCAAATAGTACTTCTATGTTGGTCTCACACTATTAATATGCAACTAACATAATGTAATACATTACAACATTCAAAAATTGAGAATGAATTCATCTGAGTATAGTGTTTGGCATTGTGAAGAAGAAGATTGCTATGTTTGTTCGGATAACAACCCAATTTCGGAAGGCCTAGATAACGTGCCTGACAATATTTTCCATGCTATGAAGGCTGCCGGAGAAGACAACGAAAGGGACTCTCAAATTAGTCACAAACTCAACCAACGTGCAAACGAGCTAGCAGATCAAGTAATTGAAAAAGAAAAATGGATTGTTGAAACTACAAAAAAAATCAAAGAGGCTAGGAAGTGGATTCGAGATGCAAATATGAAGTTTGATAAGCTTCAAGCAGAACGGGACAGTCTAACAGATTTTGTTAGAATTAGAGGGGATTTTATCGACCGTGAACATAATTTGTATCCCAAACAGTTTCCTAAATTATAGAAACCAATTTAAGTATGTAATAGGTTGTGAGACACTCCTTTAATAAAAAAACATTTCCATTTTATAAAACCATGCCGTTTATATTACAATGCACTTTATTTTTTTAAGTTATATTTAGATAAATGCAACACCTATTTTTGTTTATCAAAAATTAAATTGTTAAAAAAAAAAGTAGTTGTAAAAAAATATAGGCTCATCACTTTAAACCCTAGGCTGCATAATGTATTGTCATGTCAAATAGTAGATTTGTCTTTTCAAACAGTATTCATGACTAATATATATGACAATGTGACTACTCATTGACATTATTTGACTACGGTTTTATAGATTTTGACTACTACTTTCTAGCTTGCATAATGTATTGTCATTTTGAATAGTAGATTTGTCATGTCAAACAGTATTTTTGTGTAAGTTATATGACAATTTGACTACTCTTTGACATTATTTGACTACTGTTTTGTATACTTTGACTACTTTCTACCCTTCATAATGTATTGTCATTTCGAAATGACTACTCTAAAAACGAATAATTACCCATGCATTCAAAATCCATTTATATTGGACAACTTATTCATTGAAACATACCAATTGTCAAAATGAGTAGATTCAATGAGGTATACAAAAAAAGTTTTTCCAAGCTACCGATATTCTTTCATAATCTTGAAAGAACAAATCGTAACTCTTTCGCAATCATTAAGAAAGATATGAGAGACTGGTTTCAATTTCGTTTTGTCGCATTGGGATGCGTGGTAAGTCCTTCTCTATAGTAATTTATTATATATTTCAAGTTCATATTTGCCCTAATGTAGGTTTCGTTTCTTGCAGATTACTACCTTTCTCACATCCATGATACCAACAATATTTGTTGCTCATGTACCCCTTATTGGGGTCAACATAACGACAATGTATGTTGCTCTTGCTTTGGATGGTAATCATGAACCCCTGATCATAGCATTCGCTTTGGGAAGCATAGACTGTGACGAGGCTTGGATTTGGTTCATGTGTAGGTTGAATGAATGCTTAGGTGACACTATCGAAGTTGGTTTCATAAGCCATATGTCTGATTCCATAGACTACGCCATTTGACAAGTATACCCAGATTCGTATCATGGGTAGTTGTAAAAATATAGCCGATAAAGTTCGGGCTTCCACAGGAAGTACCGTTGTGGAACAGTTGTTCTAGAAGACATGCAAAACATATAGTGTGTCTGAATTTTATGTTTGTTTGAACAAATTAAGAAATGAGGTTAATGAGAATGATCTTCACTAGCTTGAAAATATTGCAATCGCTAAATGGGCTCGAACCTTTTTTTCCTAAAGTCCGTTTCAATGTGAAATACATCAACATTCCGATTGGATTGAATTGGCTAACAACAAACACGCACGAGTTACCAATAACGTCAATCATTGAAGTGGTGCATCAGTCGATACAAATAGTGTACGCCCAACGAGCTGCATTGGGAGGTAATAAATGTTTGTTATTTAACTTTTCCCTTAATATTCTTTTAATTATAACTCAATTAATTTCACAGAGGGAATGCATGGTCATCTTACCCCTTATGCACAACATGTACTTGAAAGAAGAATGAAGCAGTCTAATGGTTATCAGGTTACACATATTGATAAATTAGCTGCAAATGCCTTTCCTCTATCATCCACTTCGTTACGCCAAACGCCTTATTCAACCACCACATAGACAGACACATATTTATCTCCAACGACATTTATTACCTTGATCAACTTTCTAATATCACGATCATCAACAATACCACAATAATAGAGTTGTTCGGGATGTTGATAAGCCAGACTGACTTTTGATTCTTCGGGAAGACCCATCTTGCACTTCACCAAATAAACAAATTCAGTGAACGTGGTGGTTTCGTAAAATTCAACACCCAACTAAAACATTCTCGGATTGTATCCCGGTGGCCAAACATATGATAATTAGGAATTAACAAACTCCCATCTTCCATCCGTAATAAGCAATACGAAATACTCGTTACAACTCGTTATGTTAATTTTGAGAAAAAAAAAGCTAGAGAAGAAAACTTCCCAAATATGAAATAATTGCACAAATGTGGAACACTTATTATATATAATAGGTTCAAAACAGTAGTCCACTCTAACAAAAAAGTAGTCAAATTTAACAAAAAAATAGTCAAATTTACCTAAAGAGTAGTCAAATTTATTAAAAAATTAGTCAACAAATTTAAAAAAGGAATCTACATTTTAACAAAAAAATATTTTATCAAAATAATTGTTAAAAAAACTATTTATTATTTTACAAAAAGTATTTTTTAACAAAATAATTGTCATACAACTACTATATATATTTTACAAACAATATTTTTAATCAAAATAAATCTCAAAAAAATACTCTCTATTTAAAAAAAATTAAAAAAAATAAAAATAAAACCATAGGTTAATATCCAAAAAAAAAAAAACCCTGTAGTTTTTACCCGAAACTGTAGCCTACGGTTTGGGAAACCGTATATGGTAGAGAGAAAACCGTAGGTTTTACAAAAACCTACGGTTTTATATCTTAAAAATGAAAAAAAAAATTATACTAAACACGAAACAGTAGCCGAATCTAAAGACCTACGGTTTTGTGGACTATTTTGGGACAATTCCTAATTTTTAGCTAAAAATTGTTAATTACTTCCTTAATTTGGCTAGATTAGTAATTACACCTTTTTAAATTTAGTTAATATAAATATTTTGTAATTGTTATCTTATATATTTTACCATTAAGAAACAACAAATAAAACAACCTATTATAAATTCAAGTTTGGTTTCTTTCACTTTCAATATTCAAATTTTCATCTCATTTTTCATAAACTTGATTCTCAAACGAGTAAGGTACTAATCCTAACTCTTCGTCTCATTATCCTTTACAATCTCGAACCCTAACAACGAAGTGTGTAATCAATAACTAGCAACCCTCACTCGGTTATTCTTTAGTCGTCTTGCGAGTTTGAGTTGCGTAGAAAATAGAATTTAGAATTTTGCAATGTTGTTTTAACATTTAATTTGTGTTTGTGGTTGTAATTATTTTTTTTCAAACGTGAACATTTGTTGGGATTTGTAATTTAATTTTCTAATTTTATTTAAACATTTATTAGAGTATGTAACTTACTTAATTAGGTATGTAAGTTTTATTTATTTGGTTTTTGAAATGCAAATGGTCAACTTGGGTTAAACCTATTTATTTAACAAATTCAACCTATTATTAAACATGATGAATTGGGTTAAGAGTTCTTAACATCTTTAATTAAACGTGTTGGTTGGGTTGTCAACGTATTTAGTTAAACATGTCAAGCCGAAAATGACTCAACATGACATATTGTCACCCATATATGGTGGCTATATGAGTTTTGTGCGACAAGAATGTCATATTGAAACTAAAATGAAACTTTTATATGGTGACAGTTAGACCAAATGATATGTTAGTCTAAATGATGGTCGATTAAGAAGATGTATGAAATGAATGAGGAAGTTTCTAAAATGAGGATGTTATGAATGACATGCATTAGAACATTATTGGACATGATATTTAATGTGGTAGGAGTGATGTCGATCAATGATAAATTGAGGGAGGAAAGAATGTAGTGGTTTTGGCATTGTCCATATGAGACAACACATCACTACAATAGAGTAGTATAGGTTGATGATATGTATTCATACAAGGAGTGATGATTAAAAATCAGGATTGGGGAGCAAATATATGTAATAGTTTTTTTTTCTTTACAATGTTTACACTTTACATATTTATTTTTCCCTTTAAGTCGACGCTTAATTGCCAATAACAAATTTCTTATTTACCGCCTCTATTCACTATCACTCATTCACTCCACACGATTTATATGTTGGAGATCATCTGCAAATTGTCTTTCTACGACAAGGTGGTGGAAATTCTTAATGAGAATCAAGTATTATTGTTGTTACTATTGTTTCTTAGCCAACAAAAACAAAAAAGAAAAATAATAAACTTTCTTTTTCCCAATGAAAAACGTTTTTTTAATAGGAATGAATCATTTTCCACTTACACAATAGATATGATTCACATTGCCAAATTTAGATAGGAATTAGTATCTATACTCAACCAAAGTGCTCAATCAATTTCAATCTCCCTAACCACAATCTCTTAGTCATCATCATCATCTTACTTTCCTCTCTCCTCACTTCATGATCACTATAAATATATATTACTCTCTCCCAGTTGTCCACCATCATATTTACATCATTCTCTCTCCCTCCTCACCCCTCTACTACATACACATGTATATATAAACATGATGGTAGTAAAGATTCTGAAAGCATGGCTTAAAAAGAAGAGGGAGATCGATGGAGTTGCTTCTTGTTTAAGCTGTAAAAACTGGTGTCCATGGAGAATCACTCATGCATCATCATCATCATCCATACACGAAGACGATGAACAAGACTCCATTCCAAGGGACGTCCCAAAGGGTCATCTGGTAGTCTACGTTGGTCAAAACCAGAGTAGGTTTGTCATCAATGTGAAATTACTAAAAAACCCTTCATTCAACGAGTTGCTGGATCAAGCTCGAGAAGAATACGACTTCACTGCTGATTCTAAACTCTACATCCCCTGTGATGAGGAAGTCTTCCTCAAAGTTGCTTCATTGCCACATGATCAAAAAACCACTTTCTGTTTTTGAATTTTGTTAGATTTTTTTTTTCTTCAAGATTTTAGATTTAGTGTAAAGTAGCAAACCCCATTTTTGAAGGGATTCTTGATGAAATAATAAATTGTGATTCCTAATCCTAACAACAAAATCATGAAAATAACCATTCCATCTACACATTTTATACAAACCATTTGAATTCATATCATCTAAAAAAAATGTTATTCACATTTGTTCAAACACATTTATCCAAAACACTAACACTTCATATTTGCAAGAATTGACATCACATCAACTATCATCTAACATCTCCAAGCATGGCTTCAAGCTCTCGTTGACCAAAAGGTTGACCACTAGAATTAGCATGAATGGACTTCACAGACAAGTAATACATCAACCATGCAACCATGAAGTAAACCTCCATGAAACAATGTAAAGCTCTAGCAAAGAAATCCCCAAATGTTCTTGCAAATACCCATCTAGCATATGGTCCACAAACTACACTTTCAAAACTCTTGAGATTATAAGCGGGATGAAGCGATAATGACAACAAATTCCAACCTTCTTGCACAACTTCCCTCCAATTTCTTCTTGGATCCGCCATAACTATCCAAGGATCCAGAGTAAGCACAAAGGAGGTCAAGAAATCCACGAACAGCCATGGTAAAATGAAGTCTTCACGTTCCTTCTCGAAACCTTTAACCCATGGAGAGAAAATGGAATATGGCATGAAGATTAACCTAACGAAGATCTTCACGAGTGTATATTTGTCTTCAATTTGTCCGAAGAAGCAGATGCCCAAGAGTAGAGAGAAAACAGATCTGACTATCCATCTCATGAGTATGTTGCGACACAATCGTTTCAAACCCAGAGAACAACCATTCAAGTAAGTCCCGATGAAAGAGTTGTATCTCATACAGAAATCGTTCAGAACCAATACGAATATAACCCCATGAACGTAAGCGTATGTAGAAACGAATCCAAGCACGAGATATCCATACGAAGCACAGAAAGCACCAAAGGGAAAGAACAATGCAGTAAATCCATGGCGTTCGAGGTCAAATGTCTTCAAGGACTGCGAGTCGGATTTACTTTCAGCCGTTTCATCAATCGGTACAGAATCGTTGATTTCAGATGCGCTGATGCCATTATCCGGCACGGAATTGGAGAATCCCAATTGGGAATCGGAGGAGTCGGGTATGAATGAGGTGGAATTTGATTGGCGATTTGGGAGGCTGCGACGATCGAACTCGTCGTCTTCCGTGAAGAAATCATCGTCTAGAGTCCCGACGCGGGGGAGCTGGAGGAAAGGGCGGCGTACGGCGGTGATCGTGGTGGGATTGGGAGGGTCGTGAGTTGGAGAGAAGAAGTATTGAATGGAAGACTGGTTATCGATGTAGGAAGTGAGGGTATTAGTAGCCATGTCGATGTTAAGACGTTGAAAAGACAGAAGGATGGAAAGAACGAGAAACATAAGGAAATTGTTGCGGGTGAAGAAGATGGAGGTGGTTCGAGTCAGGACAGCAGTGGCCGTCGGGAGGACGACTATACGCCGTGGCGGCGGTGGCGGTGGCGGTGGAGGATGCTCGTTCATGGCGATGAATGAGAATGGATCTTGAGTTTCTATTATTGGTCAGAATTTAGATGTGCAGAGTGATGAACTATGATTTGTTTAGAGCATTATATATAAACCCATTTCGAAGTTGGTGCCAATTCAGTTAACTTCCCTCCAATTCTTTGATCCTCTCCAATGTCGGAATGCGTTTCTTGATTGAATCTTGTTCAGTTAGGTGGTTATTTCTTTCTTTGTTCTGTTTCGAGTTTTCCCGTTCTGTTACGAGGGCAGAGGAACCGATTTCAAATTGCAATAACTTTGACACGTGGCAGTTAAAAGGTAAGGGTTTTAGTTGTAAAACTCGATCGACAAAAGAAATAGTTGTGTATTATTGGAGGATGTGTTCTTGTGTATTATATTTCTTGTAATAAAAATAATGAAAAATATGAAATTGGTATCAAAATGCACATGATTAATCCAAGTGATCAAACGATATTTTTTATACCATATTAGGTTATAATATGTGGAAACCACGGTCGGTATATTTAAAATTTTTATATAAATAAAAAATTATTAAATGTAAAAAAAAAAACAAGATATTGTCGACTCTAAGTAATTATGAATTAATTTGTTAAGCAAAATAAACATAATAATGTTATTAGAATATGATTTTGTATTTTCAAAAATTGAATTGAATTTGATTTGTTACAAAAAATAATAATAATAATAATAATAATCATAGAAAAATGTCACGTGTCAAAGAGACATTCTAAAAAACTGACATGTGTCATTTTTAGGTTTTATTTATTAGAAGAGGTAGATTCGACTCTTTGTTTTAGGCATGTTATGAATCACCAAAGAAAAAAATCATGCAAAATGTTCCAGGGTTAGATATAAAAAATGCACATGATTATATGGGAGGGAGTGAGGAAAAGAGAGTAGTTACCATTTTAAAGAATAATGACATTGAATACATATAAATTACAATATTACACTTATCATCCAGATGCGGACTTTGGTTTGTTGAGGAAATCTTTTTAGATGATTATGTCTCATTATTAGAAAAATAAGGAAGATGAAGCAAATAAAAAACAAATGCAAGAAGAAAATGTGAAACATAGGTAGAAAGAGAAGAAAGAAAAGCTCGAAAATATAAAAAGGTTTAGTTAGAGAATAAATACTCTTGAAAATGGTCAAGTATCAACTTCGCACCACCAAAATAGCAAAGAAAGAAAGATAATACATTTCAGCCGAATTTGTCAATTGGATTGCAATTTTTTTTCTCCACAAATTATGACACCAACAATTGCATCTAAGCAATGAACATAGATGTAACAATGGATAATTATTGATATCGTGAAGATAAAATGAAGATTTTTGTTCTAAGGCATTTTAGAAAGGGATAATGACTTGAAAGGGTAACGAACTTTCGACTTTGTTCACATTTAGTTACTAAACTTTTTTTCGTTATCTATTTGCCATTGAACTATTGAAACTGTTCACATTTTACCCTTATGACCGACTGTTGTTACCGGTCATAAGGGTAAAATGTGAACAGTTTCAATAGTTTAGTGGCAAATAGATAACGAAAAAAA